CTACCACTATCACATAATATCATAGCATACTAGCACATAAAGCATAACAGATAGTGGCATACCAGACAACTATCACAAAAGACAATCATCTCTACTATATCTCCTACTAGTGGGCCGACATTGGTGCCTTAGACCCACTTCTACTGGAAGGTAACTCACCTCAAATGTCATGAAGTAACTGAACTGTCCTCGGATCTGCAATCAACTCCCCTCAAACTCCTACACATTAAAAATCTCCTTTAATTACCCTTTCATACTCATAATCCCCTTAAGGGTCAACTCTGGTCAAAGTCCAAGTCAATGTCAACCTTCTGGGTTGACTCAACTCGCCGAGTTCCATAAATCATAAACCCTGAAATCACGACCCAACTCGTCGAGTTCTTTCATGAACTCGTCGATTTCCTCCCTATAATAGATTCGAGACTTTTCAACACAACTCGTCGAGTTCTTCAGTCTTCAAAACCCAAAAACCATGGCCAACTCGCTGAGTCATCTCCTAGACTCGCCGAGTTTGCTCAATAACAGAAAAGGTTGGGGGACCACGATCCAACTCGCCGAGTTGGATGAACAACTCATCGAGTTCTCTTAGTCTAAATCCATTTAGTCACTTCCAATCGAGCTCAATGCTTCCAAACCATAGATCTGGTCCCCTAGGGCTAATATATCACTTAAAGTTCCTATATTTACTTGCATGCATGTACTACTTGGCTCAAAAAGCCAAAAGGATGGTTCATAAGTTGCATGGGACCTTCATGGCCATAAAGTTGGCACCTTTATGCCATGAAGTCCCCTAAAGACCCTATATCTGAAGGGTTTTCCCCACATTGGATGTCCAAGTCCCAAAGACTAACATTCTTAGACCAAAACATGGAGAAATCACTCTAAGACTAGATCTAAACATTGAATAGACAAGATAGGAGCATTTATACCTCCAATGAACCAGAAATGGAGCTCAACTTCTAGATATACTCTTCTCCTTCACGTCCTTGCTCCTTCTTTAAGAATCCTCTTCTTCAATTTCTCAAAGAATGCAAAAAATGGCTCAAAACACTCAAAAAAGGATTAGGGTTTCGTGGCTAGGGTTTGGGATGATGGAGACTGTAAACGAGGGCGCCTTTGGGGGTTAAGGTGTTTAAATAGGGTGCTAAACCCTAGAATTAGGGTTTCATTCTGGCAGCCCTACTCGTCGAGTTGAGGCTCTCGACTAGACGAGTAGGCTTTAAATCCCGCGTCCAAATTCCATTCCTACTCGATGAGAGTTCCTGTACAAAAATGAATAAATTGATTTAAAATACATACCAGGAACCAGACGTTACAAATCGTTAGAGGACGACCGGGTGCTCTCCCGGGACGTCACTCCGACTATCAAGTTAGTTTTATAAGAGAGAAAATTAGCGTAAATTCAATGAGAGAGAAGATGGATCCCTTTCTTGAGTGTGATACGTGGCCTCCTCTAACTGGGAGAATTATGCCCACGTTAACTAACTGCTTGGTGACGTCAATTCTGGGCGTCACCTAAGCTTCTTGTCACGTCATGATTGGTCGTGAGTGAATGAGAAGATCACGGGGAATATTCGTCCCTCGTGGAGGGAAACGAACTGTCAACCCGGTGCTAGACTACTTGGGCCAAGGTCGGGCCTTGGCCAAGGTTCTAACGAGATAACGTCTCGTTTATACTTCCGTTACATTTAACGTGGCTGTTCATGGTGACGTTAACATATATATATATATATATATATATATATATATATATATATATATATATATATATATATATAACAGTTAAAAGGGAAAAGTGGGGACAATACCCGTGCACTAGAGCTACTTAACCTCGGGATCGAACTATCTTGGATGTGGTGTAGCGGAGTTCTGTCGCAATGAACCGTTTCTTCTTGTCAGTTCCCAGATGCATAAGTGTTTTCACAAAAGTTTCCCAACTTGGATATATTTCACCCACAAGAAATACACATGCTTGTATTCTTCTTTGTACAACTTGGTATATCCCACCCGTAAGAAAATACACATGCTTGTATTCTTTTTTCAAAACAAGTGAACATTTGGTGCTTTTCTAAACAGTTTCTCGTTGAATAGTGGTGAATGGTAGATGACATTTAGATCATTATTTCTACCAGCGACACCAAAATGGATATTCTATTTCAATATGTTGATATCTGTAATGTTGTGAAACTTTTTTTTGCATCTTGGCATCATAAGTTGTTTGAAAATAACATATATTATCTTTCCATATCCTCACCTATACGTAGGAATAAGTTTCTACTCACATGAAGTCTTCTTCTAAATTGGTCATCACCAAACTTTGCTTTAACAACAAAATATTCTTGTATAAGCAGTTTTTCGTTTGCTTCCCGGTCTCTTTTGTGATAAGTTCCAGACACGTTTGAACTTGCGGTATCTTGAAGAACTGATATAGCGGTTCGAGAAGCTATCGACAAAATGTTGTAGTTAATTGATGATTAAGAAGAAGATAAGTAAAGGGCATGATTATTTTCATGAGCTCATTTGTTGTGAACATATAAATAAGAATTATCATTTTATGAACTCGTTGTGATAAAAAAGAAAGAATCGAATAGTATTTGGAAAGAGAAAAGATGGTGTGATTTTTTGAGTTGGGTTGGTGTGTTTATATACAAGTTAAAAAGATTAATTTTTTTTTTTGAATTATAAAAGTCGCTACACGGAGCAAAGGGACCATCAGGCCCGCCTACACGAGTGACATTTTCCAGCAATAAGATTACGACACCGTACACCCTTAAGACCGGAGGGTGTGGGTGGGAAACTCCCCTCACTTTTTGTGGGTCACAACAGCTTTTCCCTCGCTTTCCTTTCCCTCACAAAAAGCCAAAGAGTGTGCGGGAAACTTCCCTCACTTTCTTTTGATTTTTTTTTTAAATAAAATTAATTGATTTTAATGATAATTGGAATATAAAAGTATAGTGTCTATTTTGTAATTTCCGAAAACTGTTTTTGTGAAGAGAATTCAGAGCTAGGGTGTATTTTGCCATAAGACCAAAACATAGGGGCCAAATATGTCATTTCCAGAAACTTATTCCTTCTTCCTCGATGAACCTGCAAACTCAAAAAAAAGAAAAAAAAAATCCAACCAATCACAAGAAGAGAGAGAGTGCGGCAACCCCTCCCCCCACCTCCTCTCCGCGCCTCCTATCCCGCACCACTGGTGCGGTGTTCCTCCGAGCGGGAATGGCTCCCACACATCATTCCCGTTTCATTCCGTCCAACCTAAGAAAACATTATCATCCATATAAATATAATATATTATAATTATTAATTTTGAGTGTTACTACTTACTGGTGTGCGTGTTTTATTTAAAATACACACAAATGGATTGCAATCTATAATTTAGGTACCTTCTACTTTTTTTTAGATTTTTGGTGACCTTTTTCATATAGTCCCCACAATTTTATTTATGTGGGTCTACCTAATTGATAGATTACCTATTCATTATGCCTACGATAATTTGACATTATTTATTTATTTATTTTTTGTGTTGCCTAAAGCTAATAAGACATTATTGAATGACTTGTCTACACTGATTTGGCTTGACCATTATTCATAGGGGTTTATCTATGCTTATGTTGTTGATTTATGCATATTTGTGTAAATGGTCTTCAAGCTTTATATTCATCTTGATTTGAAATTATCTATATACAATTGTTGCTTTTATCTTATAAACTCGTTAAGCATAATGTTAAGGGATTCTAGCACGAAGTCGAAGTGGGGGGCTTAAATGTCAACATTAGGCACATGCTTAGGGGTTAAAGATTTATATTAAATTTGATTTTGAATTATTTATCTACACATGCTAGAAGCAATTTTTAAAATGCATATACCGGTGGAAAATAACAACTTGGTTATAAAATAATGATTACTCTATTGATGATTTAATCATAATAATAGTAACACCTAAGATCATTTAGATTTCATGTAACCTTAAAAATACCATGATATTATTGTTATCATTGTTCAAATCTAAAATTACCAAATACAACTATAACAAATATCATCAAGTCATCCATATTATATTATAAAAATATTTATGATATTGACCATAGTCACAAAACATAAATCCAGTTTTTAAACTCATTTCATCTAAAAATACCCCCCTCTTAATTTAAATTGTGAATTTGAGATACATTTAATTCTAAAATCATGGAGTAAGAAATCATTGAATCATACACATTTCAATAATTGTAATTTTGATGTCTTGAAGAGATGCACTAGTATGCTGGCGCAGAGTGGTCGAACTGGCTAGATTTGGTCTTTGAATGGTACCGATGGGTTCACTTTTGCTTCTGTGCAGACTTGGTTTGAATACACTTCCTACCACATTGAATTTGGATAGAAAAGTCATTGATATTAGTTCCTTGTGTCCGATTTGTTGTAATGATATGAAGACTGTTAATCATTTCTTCTTTTTTTCACTTGTGAGATGACGATTGAATTGTGAGTTGTTTGGCTACTTGGTGGGTTTTGATTTTCGATCTTTTCTAGTTTTGAAGATTGGAAGTGTTGTTTGGCGTCCTTTCAGTTAACGACATCAATTAGGTTGTTTTTGGATGTTGTAGAGCCACACTTATGTAGGTCACATGGTCTTTTCAGAATAAACAGTTTAGTCATAAGAAGCCTTTGAATAGGTTTTCATGAGACTAGTTTCTCGATGGTTTTTTTGGATTTCTGCTAGAAAACAAAATTTTGTATTAACCGGATAAGTTGGTTTGCAAAACCCTAAGTTAGCAATTATCTCTATGTAACCTTCTAGTTTTTGCTAGTTTTTTTTTCTCTATAAAATGCCTACCTTCCAAAAAAAAAAATAGATATTTCATTCATGTACTCACACACTTTGCTTAACCAAATGGCAAACAATATACAAAAATGAGCACAAGCAACATAATTAAAACAATGCCACTTTAGCTGCAAAAACCAGAGGCAAAAGTTACAATGAAATGCTTAAATCTATATAGGGCTTGATACATATGGAAATACCATGTTTTCTAAGATCATCATTTCAAATCATATCACATGAAAAAATAAAAATAAAAACACTAACTTGGAAACTGTACTATTATAGCAGATTATGAAGTAAATAATAACACTCAAAATTGTATTCTGAAATTGTTGTATTTTTACAATAAACAGTCTTGAATAAAAGCGTGTGTGAGATCTAAATTCTTGCATATAAAAACCAGAGGGTGAAGTCAACTTTTGTGCTCTTGGTCTTCCTCGGGTAATGCTGTTCCTTTCAAATCCATATGACCTGAAATTGAATCACATTCATTAAAAAGATTCTCATTGTTGAAGGGTATTTTAGACATTTCACAAATAGTCAACAATTTGTCCAAAACCATTGTGTACATGGTTAAGATGAACATACCAAACAAGGAGACCAATGATGGGGGCTTTGTAGGTCCATTTGACCTCATATCTATTCCTGCATAACAAACACTTAAACTGTTATTTTTTATTTTTCATTTTGCTTCACATGTTAAATGCAAGAAATAACAATGTCCTTTCATGTCTTTCTTTAAAAAATCTACCTGAAGTTCCACCTGATTTCAACATATCCGATTTTTTGAAGGTATATCCAATGAAATTGGAGTCTTTTGATGTTAACATCTGCAAGTTTACACAAAAAGTTACAAAATTGATTACACAAAAGGAAAAAACATGTTTTATAAAATGTAGAATTTGTTACCTTTCTCCATGGGCCCACTCTTGGTGTTGTTGACTGAGCATCTTCCACCTATTAGGGCATAGATTAACACAAGATATAATTCATAAATAACAAAGAAAAATAAAGATTGATTTTAGAAAAAAGATATCAAAATACTCACTTCAGGAAACTTCTCAAAATTCTGAGTATCCAATTCACCGGTGACAATTGGTTTATAAGCAGCTTCCATTTCATACAACATATCCCATTGAACCCCATTAAACCATGGGTGTGCCTAAAGAAACATAAACATAATTTTTTCAATTTCTTAATAAATAATCTCAAATATGTGGCTATGTAATTTTGAAAAATATGTAGTGACGAGGATGAGGAAGGCATTCACGTCATTTTGCACAAATGAGAGATCAAGAGCAAGTCCCTGTCTTCCCACCTTTTTGGGTGGTAGAAAAAATAAAAATTTTCTTCAGCTGACATCAGTCTCAGTCCAATGCATGTCAAACACAGTACAACCTGTCATGTCATGTCCTGTGTCCTACCTTTATTTCATCAACTCCTCCGGTCCCCAATCTTGATTCCACATCACATAGCAAATGACAAATCAAATCCCTAGCTTCTTTTGAAACTTTTGGTTCTTCTGGAAACTTCAAGCAAGTTCTCCAATTGATAATCTTGCGACATGTCATCCTAGGATCATCAGAACAAAAAGGGGGATACCCAATAAGCATCTCATACATAATTGCCCCTAATGACCACCAATCACACTCCATTCCATATCCCTTTTTTAGAAGCACTTCGGGTGCCATATAGTCAAGAGTTCCAACTGTGGAATATGCCTTCACAACAAACAAATGTTATTGATGGATAATTATTTAAAAAAAAAAGTAAAAAGATAAAAGATAAATGTTGAGAATGTGATAATACCAAGGCTCGTCGATTACGTTTCCATTGTTGTAATTTTTCCTTTGGCATTAACCAAGGAACTTGTTGCCCATCAGTGTCATTTATAGGCCCTTGATTTGCATAATCTTCATCATTCAATAATATTGATGAGAATTTACTCTCTAAGGGTTTACATAACCCAAAATCAGATAACTTTAGATGCCCATTTCTGTCTAGTATTAGGTTATCTGGTTTGATGTCCCTACAAATGAAACAAAAAGGAAATGTAGGTTAAAGAAAACACAGAATGTAGCAAGGTAGATATTAGATATGTAATATGATACCTATGGATGTAGTTGTGTTGGTGAATAGAATGAATGGCTAAGATGCTTTCAGCCATGTAGAATCGAGCAACATCTTCAGAAAGAATGTCTTCTCTCATTAACAAAGTCATGATGTCGCCTCCAGGTAGATACTCCATGATAAGGTACAAGTAATCAGAATCTTGAAAAGAATAGAACAGTTTTACAATGCATCGACTATCAACCTCTACAAGCAAATTCCTCTCAGATCGAACATGCTCGACCTAAAATTAACAAAAGAAATCGATCATTCAAGCCATTTGCAGGATTCGATGAAGCTAATATCATTTGATTACTGAAGGGAGAAGTTATAGAACCTGTCCACGACTAAGCATCTCTGATTTCTTCAGCTTCTTCATCGCAAAGACTTCTCCATTACTTTTAGCACGACATAATCTCACCTGGAAAACACAGTTCGAAGATGAATAATCGTAATTGCAGTTGGAGATGATGTTGTTTGACAGATGAGGGTTTGTATTTGTACCTCGCCAAAAGCACCTTTACCAATCAATGTCAAAAGCTCGAAATCATCGATCCCAATTTTATGCCTCTGCAATCTCATGTATTCCGTCTCCTTCTTCTCCAAATTGCGAAGCATCTGCTCCTCTTCCTCACTGGATACTTGCGCTTCAGCTGCCTTTCTCTGTAAAGCTCGTCTCCTAGAAACCAATCACCACCGTCGTTATTCATGATCATTATAATAACAGCACCAGTAGAAATTAGAAATACCTTTCTTTACGATCTTGCAATCCTTGTAGATAATTCTTGTAATGATTCTCAATCAACTGTTTAGCTGCGGCAGCCTTCTGCCTGGTCACCGGCGAAGAAACGGAGACGTCGGGTTCCAAATTGAATCCATGATCAGCTCTCGGAACGGGTTCGACCTTCATGGCTTTTGCGTCGCCGCCGACGCCAACACCGCCGTCCATTTGCAAAGTTTCTTCAATTGATCTGACTAGAAATCCAGATCCAGAAGCAAAAACTAATAGTCAATAATTATAAAAGAATGAAATGGGTTTTATGAAAAGGGAAGGGGAGGGGTTCAAATTAAAAATCGAAGGTTCTGCATAGTTGGAATTAGGGGAATCTTTTGACAGTTATGATAGGAGGAGTGATGGAATCGAGGCAAAGGGAAGTAAGAGGAAAGAGTTTGTGATTTGTGATCCATTTGAGACTGACAGTGAGTTTAAAAATATATGAAAGTTGTAGGGTTTGGTAGAGGTATGAAGCATGAACTGTCAATGGTTACAGGGTGTATGTGAATGGACTATGTGGACTGGATTGAGACTAGATTTGTGCGATGAAGTTGAGCTGACGCCATTGCCATCGCCATCTCCATCTCATTTCTCATTTAGGATCTAAAAGTATCCAAAGATGAACGAGATGCTCGAGGATTTTAAGGATCATGATCAACAGAGCAGCAACAGTAAGTGTTGTCCCATTTCAATAATTCTCTAAAATTTTGTGCCCAAAGGCCAAATCTAAATCTATCTATATGAGCAAAACTCATCCAAGGGTTAAATATCTTATAAAATTAATTTTTATTCTTTTGTTAAAAGCATATTCTGTTTTATATGTATAGAATTCATATCTAAATTCAGAAAGCCAAAAGAACTTACGTTGAGATTTCTTTCTATTACCGTTAAATACTAAAATTTACTGAACTTGATGTCAACATATGTTTAAAACTATATTGTTTTGACTTTTGAATGGTTTTCACTACTCTAGGAACACCACATTCATCCATTTTTCACGTCCTTAATTTTAAAATTATTATTATTATTATTATTATTATTATTATTGATACACACAGAAAAGACCCAACTTAACGCTTTGACAGTCTCGGTGCCCTCAAGCTGCCGTTATCCATGACAGTCAATTTGTCTAGCTAGCGTGTTGCCAAGCAGCCATTATCATGTCTGCTACCCTGCACTAGCTGGACAAGGTTGGTTATGCCTTAGAATCCTACTCGCCTTGCGACAAAAGCAATGTCATCTGACAGAACAACAAGACAAGACAATAGAACACACCATTACTAGTATTTTCGTCTGCACCAATCACATGGTAGAAGAATAAAAAGGAATCATGCAGACAAATGGATGCCTTTCCGATGCCTTTCCCCTAACAGGTGACTCATTGCACTTTTCTATAAAAGGTCTCAATAGACCTCATGTATGGTCTTTTGGACTCTCATACTCACTTACTCTTGGCCTTCAACCCTCCTAGGAGCTCCTCTCGGGAAGCGACTGATATCTTTTCTTTCTTTGATTGCGGTAGCAAATCTTCATTGTAGCTAACATCTCCGGAAGGGAATCCAAAGATCATACGTGGATAACATATTATATCATTTGGCATCATCCGGTTGTGACATCGACAAAAAGCTCAACAAACCCAAATGGCAACCAGAAATGATGGTGAAACAATTGGAGTAGTCCAAAACCCAATGTGTCGTATGTCATTGTTGGAGCCCATACTAACGCCAACGACACTAACCATCGTTCCACATATTGTTACGTCGATAGCCACCACTAACCCAATTAGCCAGTTATGGCATCATACCCTCTTAAATACGATAACACCTCATGCAACTTACTTTACTCCACTCGCCGGAGGAATACCACATGTACCCTGTATTAAACATATAATTACCCATCCATACTCCAACATACTCTTATATATGTTGGAGCTACAAACCAATCATACAACCTACCAGAAACACAACCCCAATCATGATGCATGCTACACCACGTGTACAACCAATATTTAAGCTCTCTAATAGCACCGATGGTTAACATATCACTATCATTACAGGGAATAACCACACATACCCCTTACAACCTCTCTTATACACCATTTATTCCCCTATTCATGGCATATACCACCACTCAACCACCTTTACCATAGAGTATGTCATTCTCTTTCTCCAACACATCGATACAACAACCACAACCACCTTTTGGTCCTCAGATCTCGAACCAAGGAAGTTACATGAGAAGGGTCACTTCCCTACCCTATTTGTTAAGGAGTTACTCGATTATGAAATCCCTTGTAACGTCCCAAATTTCAAATCAAAAATTTCATTTTTAAAACAGGTTAAACATCCAAACTCCATTCATTTAAATACATATCAAAACATTCATTTGTTTCAATAGCATAATATTAAATCAAAGTAAATTATAAACCAATGGGAATCTCGAAATTATAATGTATCACTGATAGGAATGTATAGTTACACTTTCCCTTCCCTCTCACACCGTAACAACCTGAAAAATATTTAACTTAAAAACGTAAGCACAAAGCTTAGTAAGTTTCCCAATATACCACATATTCAAAAAAACACATACAATGCATACAAACAATGGTTTGCGACCTTGCGAAGTTGTAATGTCTTGTCCTAAATTAATAGTACATGTATTTAGTATGATTATAAATGGCCAAGTATTTGTATTGAAAAAATAATATAAAGAACTTAATATGTCAAGAAAAGGTATTTTAGACAGTGTGTTATACATGTTAAATGTATGTAGTTGAAAGTATAAATACATATACTTGTTATGGTAATGGGAAATGAAGAAATGGATAAAAGAGTTACATGTATGGCTGAATGAATTAAGAAAGGACAAAACAGAAAAAAAAATAAAAAAAAATAAACTGTCAATTTAGATATTTGCAGCTAACGCGTCTGATATAGAACGTGGAACATTCTTGAGGCGTTAAAATAGTTGACATAAAATGAATAGTGAAAACAATGTACTATTGGGAAACGCGTCGTGAATAATTATGGTGCGACGTGACATGAAATTAGGATGCTATGAATTTTAGTGATGAGTCTTTTAGAGACGGAAATAAAGTGTAAAAAAATAACGAAGGATGGGGTGCATCCAAGTTAGATATGCGACACACCCATGATATCAGTGGAAAAAAAAATAAATGAACTTAAAGGCATCATTTTTCCCCAAAAACACAGAAATAACAAGGAGAAGTAGGAGGTGCACTTTTCACATAGTTCTATTGAGATTTTGCCTCAAACCAAATTGGAATTGAAAGGAAACAACACCAAGTGATCTTCCTTCTATCTAGATTAAGGTGATTCCTCTTTTTGGTTGATAATCTTGATGAAAGTGTGGGAATTTCAGATTTAAGGGTTTTGAAAACCTATTCGAATATGATGTTGATAGTAGGAATTTTGATGTATATTGCGAAGAAGTTAATTACATGTGTCTGATGCAACTATCATGGGTTAATTATGATCTTTGATGTTAGGGTTATCATAAACCATAATCAATAATGATAAATAGGTGATAATAAGTGCATGTCTTAATGAATTAAGATAAAAAGATGATTATCTTATAGAATATAAGATAATTGGCATGAAATTACATCATGAAGTGTATTGGTGTATAAGGAGCTTGTACCTTGGGATAAAGTACTCAAATTATGAACTTGTAAGAAGTAATATTACTTAACTTTATCTTTAAGGTAAAGACAAGTAAGTAGGACTAATATATGGAATGTAATTGATGTGTCATGTATGTTGGCACAAAATGGTTTAACAAGTATTAAACCATTTTAATATAATAAAAGATTATGTGTTTAGTTGTAAAGAACTCAATAATGGTTCTATTATTGTAACAATTCTTGGAGATAAATCTACAGTGTTGGGTCTTCTAACAATCACGTAACCATAAGGTGAATAAGACTTGTCCTCATCTTAAAGTAGAGTCTGTGTAATTACTTAATTATAAAATACGTTATACATGAATTATGATGTGATTGGTATGGAATATAGAGCCTAGCAGATGTAACATCCGGATTCCCAGGTATCTTATTTTAAGTATTTACCTTGAGTTTTAGGGAGGGACTCGGCGAGTAGGCGCTCAGACTTGCCGAGTAGGATTGCGAATTCTTGTCTGGATTAATGAGGGACTCGACGAGTCGATGCGTGGACTCGGCGAGTCTGCGCTGTAAAGTGAAACCCTAAATCTCAGGGCCTGAGCCCTATTTAAAGGCCTTTATGGCCTCCATTTGCGGCCACTTCACCCCTGAGAAACCCTAGAGAGCAGAGAGATCGTTTGTGGTACAAGAGGAAGGCTAACTCACAATTTCTTGTGTGTTTTAGCAAGAAAGAAGGAGGTAGAACAAGCTAGGCTGATTGTGGAGCTTGGATCTGTGTTGTTCACACTGAGATTCACGTTTTGAGGTACAAGTTCCTTCCCATTTCGTGTATTTGATAGATTCCTTGAATCTAGGGTTTCCTTTGCACAATTTTGAGTTAGATTGTGAAGCATATGAGGTCCCTTTGGGTATAGATGATAGATCTGGACCTTGAGAGGTCCAAAAGGTCCCAAGCTTCCAGCTTTATGAGCTTTCATGTGAGCCTTGAGAGTAAAACCCCATTTAAATGGTTATTTCTCCATTTTTGGTCTTATAAGCATTGCATGAACGTAAAGTTTGAACCTTTACGTGACTTTCGAGTGTTAGAAGGTTGGATCTACTGGTTGGTGAAGCAGATCTGACCTCAAAGGATCTTTTGAGTGTTTTCATGGGAGGAACTCGCCGAGCCCATAAGGGACTCGACGAGTCGAGTCGGGTTGCCCCGTGACTCGCGACCGGTGACAACCCGTTGAGTGTAGGGTTGACTCAGCAAGTCGAGTGATGATCAGGGGCTAAGAGGACATGCATGTACTCGCCGAGTCACACGAGTGCACTCGGCGAGTTTGCTCAAAGTTGACCGTTGACTTTTGTTGACTTTTAGGGTTTGGTCAATGTTCGGGTCTTTGGGCCATGAGAGGGGTAAAACGGTCTTTTACCCTTCTGAGAGTACTAAGAGAGGGATTAGTCTAGCCTTGAGGGTTGTATTGATTAGAGTGCTTATTCCATGTGATTAGGCGGGGGCTAGACCAGATTTTACCGAGTTCGAGATTTACCGAGTTACCCGAGGTGAGTCTTCTCACTATACTTTACCGTGAGTGGTAAGTAGAGTTATGTGACAGAGTATCTTGTATGCTATGTATGTAATGTGTTGCATTGCATTATTTCTATGTGATTTATGTTGTGTGTATTCCAAAGTTTACAGAGTTAGGACCGGAAGGTCCATAGAGTTAGGACCAGAGGGTCCACAGAGTTAGGGCCAGTGGGCCCACAGAGTTATAGCCTCGAGTGGCTAATATGTGTTATATGTGGTATTTTGGGGAACTCACTAAGCATTTATGCTTACAGTGTTTTGTGTTATGTGTTTCAGGTACCAGTGAGGATCGTGGGAAGGCGCCGACATGATCAGTACACACTATTGGAGTTTTATACATTTTGATCTTGGGATGTGTTTTTTATGGATTTGAGATGTGATACATTGAGATTTGAGAATATTTGTGAATGAAATTATATTTTTAAATGTGAAAAATTGTTTGAAAAATTACGGTGTTACAAGTTGGTATCAGAGCCTTGGTTTGAGGGATTCGGATGCACCTTCGAGCGCATTTGAACTCAAACTGAGGATTTGAGGAATTTTTCGAAATAAAACAAAATTTTTCTAAAAGAGTAAAAATATTTTGAAAAGAGCAGAGTAGAGCAGTGTGTACGATCAGCCAGCGCCCGAACGGTGATTTCCCAAAATACCCTTACATTATGTGTTATGAGATATTATGTGGTATGTTATGCATGCTAGAGTAGGCTAGGTATTCATGGTTAGGACTAGAGTGGGCCTGATTTGTGATGCCTTAGCCTAGGAGTTATTGCTACTACGAGATACTTCGAGAGTAAGTAGGTAGCAGCGATGAGCTTATGAGTGGTCTACCGGAGAGTAGCCTGAGTTTAGTGAGATATAGAGTACTTGTGATCTGGGATCCTAGGAGGAGGACTTGGGGTGAATACTGATGCACTGTGGAAGGTAGTATAAGGGCCCGTACTACTGGAAACACCGGATCGGTGAGCTGTCCAAGTAAGAATCCTTAGGGTACTAAAGAGCAAGTAGGGTTGGGTATTGAGTGCGAGTATACTCGAGCGAGTCTCTGATTTCTTTCGTGTTGTATTTCAGAGACATCATGGTTGGGACGCGCCACCACCCAGGAGGCAGTGGTACCAGTGGTACCAGTGATGAGGAGATCCGTAGGTTGATTCATGAGGAGGTGGCTGCTGCCATCCGAGCCGAGATACCAGAGATGTTTGGGTCTATCAAGACCACCCTGATCAAGACTTTTGACGAGCGCTACACTGCTCTTACTGATGCTGCTGTTGCTGCAGCCACCGCAGTCGTCGCTGCTGCGAGACCGTAGGGGGGTGACTCGTTGCTGTACCGAGAGTTCAGCAACACGAAGCCACCAGAGTTT